CAGCCCCCGCCCCTCCGAGCGCCATGCCGTGCCAGCCCCCATCCCCCCGCCGCACCGCGCCAGCCCCCGCCCCTCCGAGCGCCATGCCGTGCCAGCCCCCATCCCCCCTCCAAGCGCTGCGCCAGCCCCCGCCCCCTCAGCTCTGCGCCAAGCTCCCGCGCCCCCGAGCGCCGCTCTGCCCGAAGCCCCACCCCCTGAGCACCGCGCCGTGGAAACAAAAAAAACCCCTCCAGCGCTGCCCCGACGAACCAAAAAATAAATAAATAAAAACCCGAGCGCTGCCCCGCCCCAAGGTGCCGCCCCAAGCACGTGCTTGGTCGGCTGGTGCCTGGAGCCAGCCCTGTCTGTAGCCTATTCAAGTAATTGGAAAAATGCCTGTTGAGTTCGGTGAGCTTTGGAACAAATACTTATTGGTATCGCTGCTAGAGATTGCCATGGAGAAGATCTGGGTTCCAAATCTGGTCTGATTTCCTTGCTCCCAGAGTATGAGGGGCCAGAGAGTGCTCCAGAAACAGCATGAATTGGTTGACTTCTGTCTGGTTTACATGCATATATTCCCAGATTAGCTGAAAACTCAGATTTGCATGTACAAATAGGGATCTTCACAGCAGCCCAATTTGTGCTCAAAGTCCCTGTGTGTATTAAAATCCAAGATTTATGCTGTGCCAAAATCTATGTATCCAAAACTGTTTTCAGAACTCATGAGAGTAAATGCTGGAGCTCAAATTTTAGAATCTGTTTTAGAAAACATGACCCTATGTGTCTATGTGTATTTTATGGAGAACAACTTTTCCCCAGTTCAAGTCTAGTGATTAGTTGGGTTTTACTGTTTTACTTTCCAGAAATAATCCTTGCCGGTCCAGTTCTGAGTCCCACACCTGCTGTCCTTCCTGTTATTTGAAGGATCTGGTTTTCTAGAAGCCACTGATCACAGAATACCCTAATCATGCAAGAAAAATTAATATTCTTGTGGCCGGGGTCCTTGTGGGGAGCCAGCTGTGGTCACTCAATTAGGATGAACTGCAAAGAATGGGGCAGACAATCCCCATAAACCTGGTGGATATTCCAATACTTAGATTCACCAAGACAGCATAAAACAGCTTCTTTATTACCTCACTGGTTACTCAGAAGTCCAAATAGCAGAGTTCCCTTAAAGTGATCCAGCCTCAGGCCTCCATCCAGGTACCCACATCAAATATGATGAAAATTTCTTGTAAATCTTATTTCATCATACAAAAGAAAAGGTTCTACCAATCCCAAAGGATCAGACACATTACTTACCAGGTTAACGAATGTTTCAGATCTTACCCAAATACACGCTACAGCCAATTCTTAAAATTTATTAAAAAGCAAAAGAGAGAGAGAATGGTTAAAAGACCAATATACAGACAGACATGAATTCAATCCATTGAGGTTCAGATTCACAGCAGAGATGGTGAGCTGTGTAGTTACAAAGAGTTCCTTTAGAATTCAGTTCATAGGTCATAGTCCAATATCCAAATCGCATATTCAGGGCATACCAGTGTAACTGGGACCTCAGTCCTGCCACTCAAACTTCCTCTGATGAAGTCTAAGCAGTTCTGAGATGACAGAATCAGGACCCAAGGATCTTTTTATAGAATTTCATGTCTTTTGACAAGTTGGAATTCCTCAGGGAACAAAAGGTAATTAGGATGACTTTGAAGGAGGTCCATCACCGGTACTTAGCTATACGAATTAACATAAGGCCATTTGCTTGTTCCTCCACCATTCACAGTACATTTCAAAGAGAGATGAATACTGAGATATCCCATGTTCACAATTCATTTACATGATAGGATGTTCTTTTGACCTCTGAATTGTAAGAATACAGCATAGACAGGGACTGTTGACTACATTGTCCACCCTACTCATACATATGTAAATACACAAAAGCACAAATATTATCTCCCCACATGTCTTAGAATCATAGAATCATAGATTATAGGACTGGAAGGGACCTCGAGAGGTCATCGAGTCCAGTCCCCTGCCCGCATGGCAGGACCAAATACTGTCTAGACCATCCCTGATAGACATTTATCTAACCTACTCTTAAATATCTCCAGAGACGGAGATTCCACAACCTCCCTAGGCAATTTATCCAGT